CCACTGCCCTTTGCCATATGGTGCAAAGTGAAATCAACTCCCTTGACATAAAGCAACTACAATAATTCTCCATTCAACTACCAAATATTAAAATTGTGGATACGAATTAATTAATGTCACTAAACATAATAAAAATAAAAATAGCAAATTATCACACTACTAATGCTCTACTACCATTTCTCATCGATATAGCTAATGTTCGGAATGGCCCGCATGGGTGTAGCTCAACTGGTTCCGGAGGTGGTAAGTTGGTGCAAGGTCCTAGGATCGAATCCTGGCAGCCGCAGTGTGGGAATTTCAACTCCAATGAGATTGGTTCCTTGTGGGCACCAGGTCCGGGTCCGCTACCTTAACGGGCCGTTGAGTTACCATGATTTACATTCCTCCATCAATCCTTGTCGGGCCAAGGGATGGGGGCCCTGGGGGCGAGGGATTTCGCCTTTTGGTGCAAGCTAATGTTCGGAATGGTTTTGGAGTTATTTTTATTTTATTTTGCGTAAATATATAAGAGAATAATTTGGGAAGAAAGTAACCATCGTTTATGATTTGAGATATACTAAATCCACAATACATTATAGCAGTCAAATCATGATTAAAGTTGTTTGGAAAAATGTAATTGAGAAGATCTGAAAAAGGGTAAATTACAATCACCCCTGAGGTACGGTCAAATTACGAAAACCCCTATCTTGTTTGGATAATTACAACCACCCCTCAACTTCTCAAATTTAGTGGAATCTTCGAGATTATATGGAATATTATCACTTTTGTACCCGTTTTATTCCATTCGAACTCTAAATTTTGAAGCAAGATGATCATAATATGTGTTTTTTGGCTTGTATATATCAGGTTGTGGTGCATCAGAAACTATATTTTTACACAAAACGAGTACAAACTAGAGCATATTCCTCGAAATCTAGGTGATTATGTTGAATTTGACATCATAAGGGTGGAGGTGTAAGAAAAAAAAAACATAGTTGAGAGATAGATGTAATTATCCAAACAAGAGGGATTTTTTTGGTAAATTGACCATACCTCAGGAGGGTGTTTGTAATCTACCCTTTGAAAAATAAAGTGATGTTTGCTTATTTTTAGTGAGACGTAACAATCAAGATTTTTTACCTTAGCAGTCAAATCATTTATGAAGGAAAAGAAAATTTTCGAGGTTATTTTGGAATTTAACAAAAAAAAAATGAACTAAACACGAATTCGTCTATGGGAAGAACAAAAGTTAAACCGAACATTGCCATACACATCAACAAAAGCCCCCAAAAGATAGAGAGAGAAACAAATTAAAAGAACCAAAGTATGAAAACTTGGAGATGAAGAAAACTTTGCACAATACAGACCAAAATTTCTACCATTTTCCCACTCATATGATTTATATCTGTAGTTAATTAATTACTCCCAGTTAATCTGAAACAGCACCAAAATCCTCTGCAAATGTTATCTGTAAAAGCCACATTAAGTTAGAGGATCACATGAATATATAGAGGCTAAATTACAACCAACCTCGAGGTAACGTCAAACTACGAAAAACTCTTATATTTGGGTAATTATAACTACCCATCAATTATGAATCTTCTTACACGTCCATCTTTACGGTGTCAAATTCAACATAATCTTCTAGATTCCATAGAATGCTCTCTAGTTTTGTACTAAGGTGGTGTTTGCAAATGATTATTTAAAAGCAGAAGTTAGTAATTGTGATTTAAGTTAGTTTTAAGTGCTTATTTCTAAAAGTTGGGGGTGTTTGCAAATATTTCGGAAAATGAACTAAAATTGAAAAAGCAGGGTTAGGGGTGGTTTTAAAAAAATAGCTTAAAGCAGATTATTTTAAGAGAAGCAAAAGCAAAAGTTGATTTTGCCAATCACTAAGAATAGATTATGAGCA